CCTCCACCAACCAATTCATAAAAACCAATGCCTAACTGCAACCTTACAAGTTGTGATGATTTGCTATGCAGTAGGCAAAAACCAAATGGCACCAGCCAATCTGCCAAATGGACAAAATTCCTACTAGGCCCTGCCCCAAAAGCAGACGACCCCATGACAGGCATAGCAAGGTCAAAGTGAACCACTTTGGAGGGTGAACGGGTGATCCAATGCACGCAGTGAAAAGAGGAAGCTCAACGCTGCGCGCAGGGAATATATACCTTCAATCACAAAATGGCAACATCAAATTCTCCCCAGCGACAAGAAGAGCCCAATCGCAATGGTGGCCAACTATCTTTACCCGCTCAGCAACAGTGGGATGTCTTGTTAGACCCCACTGCAACACGTGCTCTCCATGTAGGAGAATACGCTTTCCCAAACTTGGGTCTCCAGTTGTTTTCGGACTACAACTTCCATCATCCCTAGCTAGCAAGACCAGTGGCGGGGGGGGGGGAATTGTAGTCTGAAAAACAGCTGGAGAGCAGACCCAAGTTTGGCAAACACTTGGCTAGATGACCCTGGAAGTCCCTTCCAACTCCACAATTCTATGATTCCTCTAACTGCCCCTTGCCACCCTATCAAAAAGATCAGTAGTTCTGGGCTACTTCAAAGGGCTGGTGCAACACCCATGTTGTCGCAGTCCTGCTTCCTGCAATATAGGTATAATAATGATAGATTTGTGCCAGCAATGGATGGGTAATTTAAAAAAAAATGTTTACAATCTCTCTCTCTCTTTTTTAAAATGAAATAGGACCTGTCAGTCATAATAAAAATGAACTCCCACTTCGTTTTGGGATACCTTTTATCTATTCAGAACCAAAGGAAGATGGCATTTGCAACCTTTTCAGGTAAGTTGAGTTTGAAGTTTGTTCTGAAAAGCAATAAAGAGGGAGGCCGACCACACCAGGGGGAGCATTCCACAGATGGGCAACTGCCACTGAAAAGGCCCTCTTACAGGTCAGTGCCAATTGGGCAACCCTGGGGGCCAGCACCAACAAGGCCTCGCCTGCCAATTGTAGACACATGGAGCCTTGGTGACGGAAGCTATCGTGTAACTGATTCTGCCATTCCCCATTACAAGTAATTCTGGTCACAGCTGTTATCCCAGTATACCATTTAGGTTGTTCCTAATGTAAGGTTAATGCAATGTTACCAACATCCTGGGCAAACGTGATATTGTCTCAGACCTGTGGCTGAGCCTCTTTACTCTAGAAATCCCAAGGGACGGATTACTTGCACTTAAAAGTAAGTGTGAATTCTAGAGCATTCTACATGAATCCATTTTGGTATGGCTCATTTCACAGTCTGTTCTCATAGTTTGTCCTGTTACTAGAGCCCTGACAGGAATCAGCATTAGCTTTCCCCCCTTTTCTTCTTTTTTAGGTAATAAATTATTCAGATCCATTATGCACTATTTATTATAGAAATCAATCTGGATAAAAATCTGAAGAAAATGGCCAGGCTACTTCCTTTATTGTATCAAGTATCAACATGAATAATCAAATCTAGTCAGCCTGAATTTATTTCAAAGGGGAGATGTGGGTATCAGAAAAGGAATACTAGATAATCTGAAGACCATTATCTCTGTGTATAATTCTGACAGTCAGCAGAAGAAAAACATATGCATACACAAAAGTAGGGCCCCCTCCTCAAAATATTATTTTAAACAATAGGTGCCCTTATCCAGAGAAGAAATTCTGACATCAGTTTCTAGACTAGGAGCTGCAGGAGGAAAGAAAACATGCATCCAAATTATTGCCCACATGCGAATTTTGTTTATCTGTATTGTAATGTGATGCACATACCCATCCCATCTCAATATCACATGTAAATATACATAAACAGAACCAGATGAGGGAAAGAGGATTTCTAAGTTTGGAAATTCATGTCAACTTACGGAAATAATGTGTCACATCCATTAATACTACTTTATTACCAACCACATCTTCCCAGGAGACTTGACATTCCATTTTGATAGCGGAAAAGAGCTCTGCGTTTTATGATGTTCCAGAAGAGCCATTATTGCACTGCTTCATAAGGCTAAGTGCATTGCCAAAAATATGCTTCGCAAGTCACTGCATTACCAAAAATATGGTTTCTGAACTAATATTTTGTTTAGAATAGTTGTTCCAGAAGTGTATAAACTGAACTGTCAGTGGCGGTAAGTGAAAATTAGTAATGCTTTGTTAATATACCTGAGCTCTTACATGGTTAATTACCGTATTTTTCGCCCTATAGGACGCACTTTTTCCCCTCCAAAAATGAAGGGAAAATGTGTGTGCGTCCTATGGGGCGAATGCAGGCTTTCGCTGAAGCCTGGAAAGCGAGAGGGGTCGGTGCGCACCGACCCCTCTCGCTCTCCAGGCTTCAGGAGAGCCGCAGCGCCAGCCCCACAAGGTCGGGGGACAGCGGGGAGGCGGAACGCCGCCATCCCGCTGTCTCCCGATGTGGTTTGGAGGCTGACGGCGGGGAGACGCGTGCTTCTCCCCGCCGCCAGCCCCACAAGCTCCGGGGACAGCTGGGAGGCGCAGCGCGTCTTCCCGCTGTCCCCGGACCTGGTCTGCAGACGGGCGGCGGGGAGAAGAGCGCTTCTCCCCGCTGCCGGCCCCACAAGCGCCTGGGGGAAAATAATTTTTTTTCCCTTTATTTCCCCCCCAAAAACCTTGGTGCGTCCTATGGGCCGGTGCGTCCTATGGGGCGAAAAATACGGTAAGTTTGATTAATATAGCTGTGAGTCAGATCCTAGGGACTACCAATACTCTATTCCAGCCATTGGAAAAGGGCAGAAATTCTATGCTTTTCAAGAGAAGCAAAATATTCATGTTAGTTCTCTGCATGCACAGGATCTGTTTTCTTCACTAAAATCAACAGTGATCTATCTGTACAGGATGTCCATATCAGAGCACACAAAAGGATTTGGCAATGGTGTTCCATCTAAGAAACACTATTTCTTAATATTTCCACATAATAGATTTGCAATGTACACCCACCATGATAGATGCCTTACGCATAAATGTTTTGAATCAATGGAAAACTGGTTTTAGTTATATCTTCTCTATCTGCTACTCACTGCCTAGTAAGTTGGTACAGGAAGTCACCTCTCAACACTTAGCAGACAACTTTGGGCTCCTAGAAGACAGGAGCTCTGCCCACATCAAAGGGTAACATCTTAAAGACCACCTAGAGTGGTGATGTGGGTTAAGTTTTCTACTTCCTCCAAGACATATATATATAGACCCCTTTTAAAAGTCTACAGAGGGGAAAACAGGAAAATGATGACACAAGCTTCAAGTTATTTTAATGCCATGTAGAAAAACAGCCGCGTTTTTAAAACCCTGAAATAAATCTTCCACAGCTCGAGCAACTGCTGGAAAATTCTTGTGGTAGGATGTAAATTGGGGGGAAGAGAGTTAAAGACACATTGTGGACGGCATATTTACTACACTTATGCCCTGGACTTGAGCTGATGTTACCGCCGCAAGTAACACATACTCTTAACATACCAGCTATGAGCCATAGGCGTTTTGGTGCAAACAGTTTAGTTTTGCCTCTTCTTCAAAAAGGCACTAGAACTAAGCAGCTATGAATCTCATTTAGGAGACGTCTGAATAATAGTTGAGTGCGTGCCCTGACATGTTTTTGGTGCACAGAGCAGAGACTGTCATGCAGACACAGGTCAGTGGACTACCGTATTTTTTGCTCTATAAGACTTACTTTTTCCCTCCTAAAAAGTAAGGGGAAATGTGTGTGCGTCTTATGGAGCGAATGCAGGCTGCGCAGCTATCCCAGAAGCCAGAACAGCAAGAGGGATTGCTGCTTTCACTGCGCAGCAATCCCTCTTGCTGCTCTGGCTTCTGAGATTCAGAATATTTTTTTTCTTGTTTTCCTCCTCCAAAAACTAGGTGCGTCTTGTGGTCTGGTGCGTCTTATAGAGGGAAAAATACGGTACTTCATATGGGGATAGTCTGCTTCTGAGAAAGATTCAGCCTACATAACAAATGAAATTGATAAAAGGTGCTCCCAGCTACCACTAACATCCAGTTAACCCTGCTCACATATGGAAGCTGTTCTACCCGGACACTGAGGTCCAGCACCGAGAGCCTTCTGGCAGTTCCCTCACTGCGAGAAGCCAAGTTACAGGGAACCAGGCAGAGAGCCTTCTCGGTAGTGGCACCCACCCTGTGGAATGCCCTCCCACCAGATGTCAAAGAGAACAACAACTACCAGACTTTTAGAAGACATCTGAAGGCAGCCCTGTTTAGGGAAGCTTTTAATGTTTGATGCATTACTGTATTTTAATATTTTGTTGAAAGCCACCCAGAGTGGCTGGGGAATAAATAAATAAATAAATAAATAATAAATAAATAATAATTAGCCCCATCCATGGGGTCACGAAGATTCGGACACGACTAAACGACTAAACAACAATATCCATCCATCTATCCTGGAAATGACCACTCCTGCCAGATAACTGGCATTGCCTCTTCATTCTCATCTGGATTCATTTCAGCTTGTTCAAACTCAGCTTCCAAGCACAAACTAAACACAACGCAGCTGCTCCTGGATGCTTATTTAACGAACTATATAGTGTCATCAACATATTCATTACACCAGCCCCCTCAGGTTCTAGACTCCCAGCAGATTCACATTTATGTTAAACCAGTGTTTCCCAAGCTCAGGTCTCCAGCTGTTTTGGGACTACAATTCCCATCATCCCCGACCACTGGTCTTGCTAGCTAGGGATGATGGGAGTTGTAGACCAAAAACAGCTGGAGATCTGAGCATGGGAAACACTGTCAGTTAAATAACTACTACTACTACTGCTACTACCCCCCTCACTGTGAGGTCTAAAAACGGTAATACTTAGGACACCCTCTCTTTCTATATTACCAGTGCTATTGTCGAAACTGGCTGATAGCTGGTCACCATGATTTCTGGTGCATTTCTCTTCCAGTTCTATGTGGAGATACCAGGGATTAAACATGGGATTTTTTGTACGCAGAGCAAATGCTCTACCACTAAGCTACGGTAAAACCGTGCCAACTTTGAGGAAGCCGAGCTAGCATCACAGATGCTGACCTCTAGGACAAGAAAAAGTATCCAGCTAATCAAGAGCCAGACCCCAAACCCATAATTTCCTGAGCTGGTTTAGTCAAAAATGTGACTCATTGTATCCAAAGAAGCTACTCAAGAGGTTCAAAACTATAAAGAGGGGAGAAATTGTCAACTTCTGTACACAGTGCCACTGAAGCCATCATGGCCTGGCTTAGGAACAGTGTATTGTCCAGATGTGTGTTCTACTATACATTCAATTATCTTCCCTAGCAAGGGAAGCTCTGAGATGCATGCAGGGCTGGTGAAATTATCCCAGTCTAAATTTGGCTTGAGGAAGTCTGCTTATTTAAAATCCAGTGTTCCCCGCCACTCTAGATTTTGTTCAGCTACAATCCATCAACTCCAGCTAGATAGGTCAGGACGTGGGTGGGCTGTGGTCTAAATCACTGAGCCCCTTGGGCTTGCCGATCGGAAGTTCAGCAGTTCGAATCCCCATGACAGGGTGAGCTCCCGTTGCTCTGCCCCAGCTCCTGCCAACCTAGCAGTTCAAAAGCATGCCAGTGCAATAGGTACTGCTGTGGCAGGAAGGTAAATGGCGTTTCCGTGCACGCTGGTTTCCGTCACGGTGTCCCGTTGCGCCAGAAGTGGTTTAGTCATGCTGGCCACATGACCTGGAAAGCTGTCTGTAGACAAACGCTGGTACCCTCAGCCTGAAAACGAGATGAGCGCCACAACCTATAGTCGCCTTTGACTAGACGCAACCGTCTAGGGGTCCTTTACCTTTACCTTTTTTTACCTAGATAGGTAAATGGTCAGAGTAGGTGAAAGTTGTAGCATAGCAACTTTAGTATAGTAGAGGTTCTTCTCCCTTCTTTAGAGAATTTTGTTCTCCCCTCTTTGAAAATAACCCACCTCTTGAGTTAACATAACGAATTTTAGGCAACAACAAAAAAGGGATCACCAGCTCCCTCCTTATCCATATTTATGTATTCTGAAATGGGACAATAATAAGGATTAGAATGCTTCTAAAATACCAAAGACAACGTATTCGACAGCTGAAGAAATACAGGGAAGTACTTCTATTTATATTTACTGCTATGCAACAAAAAATCCTGTTTGCTGAATTTGCACCATCAGCAGCTAAGCAGCAAACAGCAATGTTTAGTGGTTTAATCTGTCACAACTCCAGAGATAAAAACTAAGCTCTAATGAATTTCCTGCAGCTGAAACAGTGAATTTATTTAAATACTCTCTTTACTATGAATTGCAAAACTATAAAACAAACAGACAAACATTTGTGCTTTCAACAGAAGCAGTCAGTCAAAATAAGAAAGGAGGCCATTTTTCATTTGTGCTAAAAGTTTGTCAGATCAATTAAATTATGTGAAACGGCCACACCTGACTCTATAGTGACAGATCCTCGTGATTACTATTGCTATGGTATTTGCTAAGCAAAAACAACTGTTTTCTCTAATGGAAAAAGAAAATTCTGCAAAAACATTAGGGAATCACATCCCATGCCTTCTTTTCCTTCCTTCTGAGAAACAGGGATTTCTGTCAAACAGTAGCCCCAGACCAACTTCGGTACCTGAAAATATGAAGTCATAGATCCACATTTGTTGATAATACAAGTCTTATCAAAGCAGTCAAAGCCAGGGATTGTGGTTGCTCCCGGCTCATGCTAAGGGAGGAGAAAAGCAGGCGCCATTGGCTTGTTCACAGTAAACCATTAACTATACTTTAGCCTGCTGAAGTATTAAGTCCAACTGAAATGCGCTACTGGGCAGGGGCGCAGCAGGTCTCTACGTCAGCTGTATTGTTTGATGTTCTAACCGTCACTTTTCCAGCAGTGTTAGCATACCAACACATCTGCCCAAGCCAAAGTGGTTTCCTTGGGTTAAGGAGGAAATCTGGCGTGCTTTGACTACAACTAAAGTTACATCATCTCATGCCCTCTTCTACATTTCACAGATGAAATTAGGCAAAGTTAGCTGAGCAACCTCTCCACAATGCATCACTGAAAGCTGTTCCATGTCTGTTGTACAATGCATTAATGTTTTCTTCAACAGTCCACTGGCTTCTGAAGTAGGCTGTATTAGTAAGACTGACTCTGGCACTTTTCCTCCTCTACAAAGCAGTTTGTGCTTAAAAAAATAACTGCAACTCAAAGCACGTCCAGCAATAATTTACTATGTGGCTAGGTAGTTATGGTGACATGGGAAACAAGAGGTGCAAGAGCATTTTACGTTCAGGTGCATTCACTGTCATGCAAAGTTTTCCTGGAACAGATGTTAAGTTAACTGGGGGAAAGTTCAATAGTTCCACCCTGGATCCTTGCTTTATTGCTACCATTTCAGTAGTGAATGATTTAAAAGGAAATCAAAAGCAATGGATTGTGGGATAGATAACTGAGTACAGTCATACCTTGGGTTGAAGTAGCTTTGGGTTAAGCATTTTCGGGTTCCGCTCCGTGGTGACCTGGAAGTAACGGAGCGTGTTACTTCCGGGTTTCGCCACTTGCACATGCGCAGACGCTCAAAATGGCGTCGTGCACATGCGCGGAAGCGGCGAATCACGACCCGCGCAGATGCAGGTTGCGTTCGCTTCAGGATGTGAACGGGGCTCCGGAACAGATCCTGTTAGCATCCAGAGGTACCACTGTATTGCCGTATCAGATTGTGGTGGAAAGGAATCTATTGGTGTGACAGTATCACACCCCCCCCCAAAAAAACCACCCCAACCTTCTATTTTGTCCATTGTGAAACATGCTGGTAGCATTTGCTCTTGCTTTCTGATGGACTTCCTGGTTTTGCTTTTAAATGCACACGTGAACAGGTACCTACCTGCATGCATGATGGGAATGGAAAAAAGAGGCTGTGTATAGCAAGGGCGGGGAGTGATTCCCAGGCAGGACCAAACATTTACATACATATGTTCTGTCATGCTCCACCCCCTGGTATAGGGGGCAAGCAGCAGAGTAGCAAAGAATATGAAAAATTAAAAACAAAACAAAACAAATAGGAATGTGCAGAAGCTAATGTGGCAATTGCACACACAGAAAATGGAATCTGCATGATCCATCTGCAGTATTGTCTGGAAGTACACTTATAGAAGAGAAATTTAAAGCCATCTAACTTCTCCACTACCAGTAAAGCAGGTTGGGTGCCACTAGCTCCATATTTCACCAATGACTTTCTTGTTTACAGTACAAAGGTCAACTTTTAAAGACTACATTTGGACTTCCCCTGGACTAAACAAATAAGGAACAGCTTTCCATAATATGCATATGGCTCTGTCTATAAGCACGACTACACAAATAGGAAACTGTACAACACTCCCGACCGAGCGAGAGATGCCTTTCTTCTTCTAAATTAGGAACCACAAGAAACCAAGCGCGTCCTCTGGTTTCTACCTTTGTATTGCATTAATGAAAGCCACTGTTTAAGAGATCACAGGTACAGTAATTCTTTAAACCTAGCAGTCAATTTGCAAAACATAAGAGAACGTTTGAAACTAGAACAGAATTTAGAACATAGATGGACCCAGTGGAGTAGCAGTTTATAAGCTGACAAAGGCCCTGATCCTAACCAAATTTACGCAGTAGTAATTTTTACTGATTTCAGTTTAATATTCTGAAGCTGAGGCTCCAATACTTTGGCCACCTCATGAGAAGAGAAGACTCCCTGGAAAAGACCCTGATGTTGGGAAAGATGGAGGGCACAAGGAGAAGGGGACGACAGAGGACGAGATGGTTGGACAGTGTTCTCGACGCTACCAGCATGAGTTTGACCAAACTGCGGGAGGCAGTGGAAGACAGAAGTGCCTGGCGTGCTCTGGTCCATGGGATCACGAAGAGTCGGACACGACTAAACAACAACAACAACATACTTGGTACAAGTTGGCATGCTTAACATTGCAGCCTTCGTTAGGATGAGAGCATACATTTAAAACCATGGGGGGGGGGGCGAGTGACTCCCTTTGCCACAGCTGTGTAAAACTGCAGTTCAACTTTCCATGTTAAGTGGCAATTTGGCACCAGACAAACATGTAATTTCTCCCGTTAATCTTTAATGAAAGGAAATGTACATTTATTAACTCACAAGTCAAGGTAAATTTAACAAATTTTACCATCCATTCTAGCATCTCTGTAAGCAGATGGATCTCGAGTCAGAAATCTAAAACTCTGCTCTCACAGTTTACATCTCCTATGATTCCATTTCCTTATCTGGGGATGGGGACAGCATTTTCACTTCAGACCTGAACCATGGTAAAATGTAAAGGACCCCTGGAGGGTTAAGTCCAGTCAATGGCGACTATGGGGTTGCGGCGCTCATCTTGCTTTCAGGCTGAGGGAGCCAGTGTTTATTCGCAGACAGCTTTCCGGGTCCTGTGGCCAGCATGACTAAACAGTTTCTGGCGCAACAGAACACCGTGACGGAAACCAGAGCACACATAAAACGCCATGTAGCTTCCCGCCACAGCGGTACCTATTTATCTACTTGCACTGGTGTGCTTTCGAACTGCTAGGTTGGCAGGAGCTGGGGAGCTCATCCCATTGTGGGGATTCGAACTACATACCTTCGGATCGGCAAGCACAAGAGGCTCAGTGGTTTAGACTACAGCGCCACCTGTGTCCCTCATCTGCCTCAGAAATTTAAAAATCTGCCTCAGAAATCACTGTAAAGTTGCACCAGCACAGGCAGAATGTAAGCTTGGAAGGAAAGCTCAGCTTTTCATTTACAGTGGCACCTCGGGTTAAGAACTTAATTCGTTCTGGAGGTCCGTTCTTAACCTGAAACTGTTCTTAACCTGAAGCACCACTTTAGCTAATGGGGCCTCCAGCTGCCGCCACAGGATTTCTGTTCTCATCCTGAAGCAAAGTTCTTAACCTGAGGGACTATTTCTGCGTTAGCAGAGTCTGTAACCTGAAGCGTCTGTAACCCGAGGTACCACTGCATTATGCAAGAAGTCGCAGAACTGGAACATTTATTGCATTTTTAAATAAACACATCGCTTTTGCTTTTTGACTGCATGTATCAGTTGGATTTCTACAGACAGGGCAAAGGGGAATCACAGGAACTATTTGTGTGGGTTGCAGTAGGCCTGACACTTCCTGGTTTAAAATCTCACTTCAGCCAGCCATGAACTCACTGGGTGGCCTCAGTCATTGCTTTTCCTTACCCAGCTTGCAGATATACAGTAGCTACAATATGGGGAAAGTACTGGCCTTTTCCCCCAAGACAGTTGCAAGGGTTACTTATGTAACAATATTAAAGTCAAAGAGGATATAGTGTTATGATGTACTGGATGTCATCGACTTAATTGAACACTGCTCATATATGTGTGGTGGAGAAAATATACTCTCAGGCTTAGAAGCTAGCAAACGTTTACTGCCAAGAAACACATTGTTGTGGAATTGGTGTGTTTTTTTTGCCCCCGCTTCCCTCTTCTATAAATAACTCGCATATTTTGTCTGGCTTGCAGCTTATTAGGTCTTCTGGTTTGTTGCTCGTGTCTACTTATGTTCATCTAATAGCTTTTGGTCCGTCTAATTTTCTTTTTGAGAAGTGCACCTTATTTTCCACTTCTCTAGCTTTTCTTTCTAAGCCTTAACTAAAATACAGACACATTCAAAACACTACCAAACCCTTTGTCACATAAATACAAAACTGATTAACAACACACTGTGAGAAGCCAAGTTACAGGAAACCAGGCAGAGGGCCTTCTCAGTAGTGGCGCCCGCCCTGTGGAACACCCTCCCACCAGATGTCAAAGAGAACAACAACTACCAGACTTTTAGAAGACATCTGAAGGCAGCCCTGTTTAGGGAAGCTTTTAATGTTTGATGCATTAATGTATTTTAATATTTTGTTGGAAGCCGCCCAGAGTGGCTGGGGAAGCCCAGCCAGATGGGCGGGGCATAAATAAATTATTATTATTATTATTATTATTATTATCATCATCATTATTAACAAAACATATTATTAGAAATTAAAGTCCAGCAGATCGATCAGGAAATACAATCTATTCATAGAATCATAGAGTTGGAAGAGACCACAAGGGCCATCGAGTCCAACCCCCTGCCAAGCAGGAAACACCATCAGAGCACTCCTGACATATGGTTGTCAAGCCTCTGCTTAAAGACCTCCAAAGAAGGAGACTCCACCACACTCCTTGGCAGCAAATTCCACTGTCAAACAGCTCTTACTGTCAGGAAGTTCTTCCTAATGTTTAGGTGGAATCTTCTTTCTTGTAGTTTGGATCCATTGCTCCATGTCTGCTTCTCTGGAGCAGCAGAAAACAACCTTTCTCCCTCCTCTATGTGACATCCTTTTATATATTTGAACATGGCTATCATATCACCCCTTAACCTCCTCTTCTCCAGGCTAAACATGCCCAGCTCCCTTAGCCGTTCCTCATAAGGCATCGTTTCCAGGCCTTTGACCATTTTGGTTGCCCTCCTCTGGACACGTTCCAGTTTGTCAGTGTCCTTCTTGAACTGTGGTGCCCAGAACTGGACACAGTACTCCAGGTGAGGTCTGACCAGAGCAGAATACAGTGGCACTATTACTTCCCTTGATCTAGATGCTATACTCCTATTGATGCAGCCCAGAATTGCATTGGCTTTTTAGCTGCCGCGTCACATTGTTGGCTCATGTCAAGTTTATGGTCAACCAAGACTCCTAGATCCTTTTCACATGTACTGCTCTCAAGCCAGGTGTCACCCATCTTGTATTTGTGCCTCTCATTTTTTTGCCCAAGTGCAATACTTTACATTTCTCCCTGTTAAAATTCATCTTGTTTGTTTTGGCCCAGTTCTCTAATCTGTCAAGGTTGTTTTGAAGTGTGATCCTGTCCTCTGGGGTGTTAGCCACCCCTCCCAGTTTGGTGTCATCTGCAAATTTGATCAGGATGCCCTTGAGTCCATCATCCAAGTCGTTGATAAAGATGTTGAATAAGACCGGGCCCAAGACAGAACCCTGTGGCACCCCACTAGTCACTCTTCTCCAGGATGAAGAGGAACCATTGATGAGCACCCTTTGGGTTCGGTCAGTCAGCCAGTTACAAATCCACTGAGTGGTAGCATAGTCAAGACCGCATTTTACCAGCTTCTTTACAAGAATATCATGGGGCACCTTGTCAAATGCCTTGCTGTTCTTATATTGGCAACATCCACGGTGTGGAATTCTTATATAAATCTTGTAGTGTTCAACGTGAAGATGCTTTTAAGATGTATACCTGCATACAAGGAACGCTAGAATTCTTAAAATATGTTTCATTTATATGATAAGTTGGTCTATTGAACCATATATGTTGATATGATATGTTGATATGATAAGTTGGTCTATTGAACCATATATTTTGATATGATATGTTGAATCACATTTAAAAAGAATTTATATATTTACATGCAGCCTGTTACGTTGTTTGTGTTGTTATTAATATACAGACACAGCAATTACGCAGCACCTTTCCCAGGTGACAGTGTTATTTCAGTCTGGGAAGTTGAAGTAAGGTAAAGTCTCCCTGCACTTCAACCCCCACTCTGGCTTCATCAGTACAATCTGAATCAGCTAGGATGCTCAGCAACGCCCATCAGCCCAGTAGCACAGAAACTGCATCTAGACCAGCATTTCCCAAAGTTGGGTCTCCAGCTGTTTTTGGACTACAATTCCCATCACCCCTGACCACTAGTCCTGCTAGTTAGGGACGATGGGAGTTGTAGTCCATCCACAGCTGGAGACCCAACTTTGGGAAACCTTAATCTAGACTTTCGTTACCAAAGCACCTTAAACATTACCACATGTATTGTGGGTATAGGTTTTTGTGGGCTAGGATGTACTGCAGCAGTGACATTTTAAGGGTTGTCATCAACAGGAGTGGGTGTGTACAAGCACACATGCATGAGCCAGGTTTTTTTTCCCCAGCTGGAACTCACCAGAACATCACCTCTTTTTCTAGAAAAACCTGGCATGCGCACACGCAAACACACAGAGGCAGGAAGGAAGAAGGAAAGAAGGAAAGAAGGAAAGAAGGAAGGAAGAGAGAGAGAGAGAGAGAGAGAGAGAGAGAGAGAGAGAGAGAGAATAGTGGGGCAAAAAGGCCCTGGAATATAAGAACACCACACAAGATTTTTCTAGGCAAAGCTCAGGCACGTACAAGGCAAACACAGTGGCTATACAGAGTATCAGTCATTGGCAAATAACACCATGTTGTCATAATTCAACCCCTGTAGCTGAGGAAAACACCTTGGTTCTGACTGAATCCTAGCAAACGCAGTAACAGCTTTCTGGGTCTAAAGGTCATTTCAGGATCCTATCACGATGCCCACCATCCTTATCCCCTCTTGACTATTTCTAACACAAGAGCAAAGGAGAGCTGATGTGTCTTTCTGACCTTCACTTCTGTTTCAAAACAGAAGGAAGGGAATGTTCTTGGGTTTAAGCAGCTGGCAGTGGCTTGTACTGATCTAAATCTGCCTGTGTAGAGAGCTGGGAGCACTTACTCTCTTATTTCTATTCATCACCTTTCACTCGAAATTTACACAGCCAGTTAAACAATAACTAGCACAAATGTGACAGTAGCACCTACGATGCCCAACTGCTTAATGGCCTGTCATTATACTTTTTTGTGGCTGGGCAGTGTGACTATAAAATGAATTCCCCCTCCCACTAAATATGTTTTTGTTTTGTTTTTTAAGAAAGATGTCCAACAAGATTTTAGGTCTAGGAACATTTTCCTCCCTTTTTGAGGCAATGAATTTTGCAAAACTGCTGATCTAGGGAAATTTTCTTGAATGGCTCTCCTGGAGAAACTAAATTCTAAACACTACATTTTTCTTTCTTTTTTGCAATTCACTTAAGAGGCATCAATCATGCGCAGCAGAACAGCAACAAATATGCTCAGCTCCCCTTAGCTATTCAACAGGTTCTCTTTTGCCTGTGGCAAATGAGACCGGAATAAGTGTCAAATTTGTATTTATTTGTGTTGTAAAAATTAACTCACATTGCTGGAGCCCACATGCAAAGTAAAGGTGTGAATTATCACCTAAGCTCATACTGAAAATGCGACCTCTGCCTAACGAAGTTTAAGTGGGAAAATACTTGCTGAATCATGACGAAGTGTTAAGATTGTGGCCTGGCATGCAAAGCTTCTCAAGGGTTGAGACTGGGTGGCAGTGGTTTGCTAAGTGATATTTAATACAGTAAATATTAAATATATTTAATACATCTGCTTGCTAGTTGGATTGCTTTTTGCTTCGTTTTCATTTTGAGGTTGCCACCTACCTCAAGGCCCTGGAGAAATCAGGTTATGAATAAAATAAACCAAATAAATTGTCTTGATTCTTACCCATTTCATTAAAGGCAACGTACTCTAGATCAATACAGAGTATTACTGCCAGATGACCAATCTGTGTTTGTCAATCATGCGGGGAAGCTGGAACAGGATTCTTTAATTTTATTTTTTAATATCAACACAGGGAAGCATATTTTGATAACCTCTGACCCAAATTCATCGTGCAAATCTGCTGCCTGCAAACCCTGCCTGTGTTTCTGTTGGAGAACACTTCCCCAATCTGGTGCTCTCCCAGGTGTGATGGATTACAAACCCCATCATCCCTAACCACTGGTCATGCTGGCTGAGCATGGTGGATGTTGCAGTCGAACATCTGAAGGGCACCAGATTAAGAAAAGCTGGTTTGGAGGACTGAGTTAAAAGTTTCAGAAATTGAATCTGCCCCTGGATGATGATGATGATGATTTTTTTGCAATGAACTCTACATCAGAGAGCACAGGCTGGCCGACCTAAAATCTCATACCATTTCTTAACTAACCCACTGTGCGAATGCCAATTTAGGAAATAACTGGTGTGTCATTGGAGTACTTATTCATAAACCTACAATGCAAAATATTGCAGCTCAGAGGCAAAACTAGCTAGAGAAATCCTCAGTGGCTCCACATCAGAGTTGCACAGGACAGCTTTCTCGTTTGATCTTCCGTTTCCAACCACCCTGAGGTGTACTTTGATTTCTTAAACTAAAGAATACAAGAACAGAAACCCAAATCCCGCTGATGCCAATGAGCTGAACAAGGCCTTATTTATGCCAGAAGTGCACAAAACGAGAGATTCGGCGTTTTGATTTCAAGCCATATGGGCTTCCGTTCAATATCTCTTTCTTCCCAGCCTTAAGCTGTTTCCTTAAGCAAAGTCCCAAATGAAGCAAGCAGAAAATTATACGTATGTGATATCATCAAATACGGACATGGGGGTCCATATTTCTAGGCGGAAAACCCTAATGTGCAGTTAAAAGCCCTACCTTGACCGCGTACTTAATTTGCAGATTGATGAGCTCCCTTCTCTTTCAAAATCTTGAATTTCTGTTTCAACACAGTGCTCACAGATCAGAAAAGGAGACATGGATTTCAATACTAATATTACAACTGCGAGGGGCAGGGCCTGAGCACAGGCATGAATAGAGAGCCTGTTGCCCACCAGATGTTGATGCACTACAACATCTGTAGGGAGCGGGCAACATGTTGGCTATCTGTCATGGATGCTTTAGCTGAGATACCTGCATTGCAGGGCATAGGACTAGGTGACCCCTGGGGTCCAACTCTATGTTTCTATGTTCCCCATCTTTGTCGCATGATATGGCATATACTGAGCAAAGTGGTAACAACTGCTTTACTACCAGGTGTATTAGAATTCCCCTGGCTGCAAAAAGTGCACACATTCAAGCCTTCTTTGCAATTATGAGAGCTAAACATTTTGCTTAAATGTAAAACTATTAATGTAAAACTATTAAGAAGGGACGCGGGTGGCACTGTGGGTTAAACCACAGAGCCTAGGGCTTGCCGATCAGAAGGTCGGCGGTTCGAATCCCCGCGATGGGGTGAGCTCCTGTTGCTCAGTCCTTGCTCCTGCCAACCTAGCAGTTTGAAAGCACATCAAGTGGAAGTAGATAAATAGGTACCGCTCCAGCGGTAAGGTAAACGGCGTTTCTGTGTGCTGCTCTGGTTCGGCAGAAGCGGCTTAGTCATGCTGGCCACATGACCCGGAAGCTGTACGCCGGCTCCCTCGGCCAATAAAGCGAGATGAGCGCCGCATCCTCTGAGTCAGCCACAACGGGACCTAATGGTCAGGGGTCCTTTTACCTTTAAAACTATTAAGATATTGTGGTAAGATAGCAAGATAGCATATACTATGCTTATCCCCCCCCCGAGCAGTAACTGTGTTTGCCTGCTACAGCAAAAACAACAGAGTCCCGCAACACGTAAAAGGTGAGCAAATTTATTATTATGGCATGAGATTAATCAAAGATTTCACTTGACGCCTCTGAAAAAAAGGACTTCAACCCGTAAGAGCTCACATCATAAGAAACCGACGAATTAGAAAATTCATCAGGACTTGTAGTCATATTTTTGTTGTTCATGTACCAGAGTTTCCAGACCGTTGCATCAGTGAAGCCTACTCATAAGGCAAATGGTATGCCAGCTGGTTGGTATGCCAGCCCTTTCTCTTCGGCAGTTTTCATGGGAGTGGAGAAAAATAAAATAAAACCCTCTGGGGTTGCTAGGCAACTGCAGGGTGGGATATTAACCACTCCTGTGCCAACTGTTGATAATTTCCATGCAATTGCCAACCAACCACGATGAATTTTATACTCCATCAATGTCAGGCATTGCTATATTGACTTTGATGGTACAGATGATCACACTCCCCATTACACGGGTATATTAGATTAGGGGGCAGGGGAGGGGAGAAAGAGGAGGAATTGTGACTGGCGGGACAGTCCTTGGTGTCTAAACCAGCTGCTGCAAAGCTCTGAAAATGGACAGGCATTTACATATATTTTTTTGTAACAAATTGGGAACCCACAGCTTGAGTTGATCAGCAGCTGCAGGCCATATCATTTTGTGTGTGCGTGCGTGCTGCAATTTAGCACAACCAAGTGGGAGAAACCCTAGGCACAATGTAAAAGGCTACAAAAAAAAAATAGATAAATAAGCAAATAGGGCTATTTGCATGACTAGTTCCACCCTGCATGCCTAATTAGCAAGGCAATCTTCAAAAGATTTCTGGTAGGCAGTTTTAATCACAAACAACCCTATTCCCTCTTGCATGCTTCTCTTATAAGTCTCATGGTAGAGGAAAAACTAATCCTTAAAAAAAGGGGGGGGGGAGAACAGCATTTGCTTAGCATATCTAGTCCTACAATAACAAAACCCGTTTCTCCTTAGTTTGGAGCAGGACATTCTGTACTGTTTTGGCAAAATTTTATAATGAATGATTTTAGAGTGTTGTTTGTGCTGTACTTTTGTACTGTTTTGTTGTTGTTAGCCGCCCTGAGCCCGGCTTCGGCTGGGGAGGGCGGGATATAAATAAAATTTATTATTATTATTATTATTATTATTATTATTACAAGAGTTTTAGGAAATACTCATAATGTAATCAAACATGAGCAGATATCTTATCAGAGTAATTAAAATGTATTTAGCACTGTGCATGCACAGTTGCCACTGTCTACAAAGTTGAGTTGTTCATGCACAAAAAAATCCTGCAATTCACCTCAATTACTTTAAGCGATTATTACGTTACATGTTTTCGTTTGAGCTAGCCTCATTTTTTTTACATTGTCAAAAATTAACAGAAACTCCTGAACTAACGTATAATTATGTAGATTGCATAACACCAGATTTAAGGACTGTACTGCTAATGTTTTCCCATGCTTTGCAATGAAGACTATCAATGCTGCTACAGCCTCTAGCTTTTTAAACACTACCCATTTTGACATTTTCACAGGGGTTTCCAACCCTTTTGGTCTAGTGGGGACTTCTCAAATTTTGAGAGAGTGCTGTAGGTGTGATATGACACAAATTTAGAGAGAGTACAGCCCTTGCTGTTTACCTCCCAACCACCCCGTAATAACCTAAAGTCAACTATGGGATACAAAAAGAGAAGGAAACTGGTTTAAAGCACCTGTAACAAGACTTACGGGATGCAGGTGGTGCTGTGGGTTAAACCATAGAGCCTAGGACTTGCCGATCAGAAGGTCAGCGGTTCGAATCCCAGCGACGGGGTGACCTCCTGTTGCTCGGTCCCTGCTCCTGCCAACCTAGCAGTTCGAAAGCATGTCAAGTGCAAGTAGATAAATAGGTACCGCTCCAGCGGGAAGGTAAACGGCGTTTCTGTGTGCTGCTCTGGTTCGCCAGAAGCGGCTTAGTCATGCTGGCCACATGACCTGGAAGCTGTACGCCGGCTCCCTCGGCCAATAAAGCGAGATGAGCGCCGCAACCCCAGAGTCGGCCACGACTGGACCTAATGGTCAGGGGTCCCTTTACCTTTACCTTTAACAAGACTTACAATGCTTGAAACTTATACCCTCTCACAGGGTGCTTTGACTTATGGCAAAAGCTTCTTTGTTATGGCAGGTGTTTTATCAGATATGTTTTTTAAAAAAAAATCTGATACTGCTCTTGTAATATGTTACATTTGTCTGTTTTTATGATGCTGCATTTTGGGGGACACTGTATTTAATTTTCTGTTTGGTTTTACTTGTTAGCCACCCTGAGTGGTGTGCAAGCAACAAGGGGGCAGAATGTACATTCGTAATATGCGTGCATGAATGCATGCATGTATGTATTAACAAACAAACAAATTTACTGCAGTTCAAAATGTTTGCTAATCAGAAATCTCAAATGTTTAGCAATCGGGAGGTTGCTGTCAGAAGCATCACCTCAGTCGAGGGCAAGTTGAACCTGGTCTGTAGCGTGGCACTGGAAATGCAGTACCGTATTTTTCGCTCTGTAAGACGCACTTTTCCCCCTCCTAAAAAGTAAGGGAAAATGTGTGTGCGTCTTATGGAGCGAATGCAGGCTGCACGGCTATCCCAGAAGCCAGAACAGGGAGAGGGAGGACTACGCAGCGCTCCCTCTTGCTGTTCTGGCTTCTGGGATAGCCCGCGAGGCTTCGCGCAGCTCTTGAGGGTGGTGGGGGAAAGGGACAGAGCGCGTGGCTCTGTCCCTCCCCCACCTCCCAGAAAAGCCCCCAAGAGCCATGCTCCCTTTAAAGGGCACGCAGCTCTCGGCTGGCTTTTGTGGGAGGTGGGGGAAGGGACAGAGGGCAGCTTAGCCACGCGCAGTCTCTTCCGGGCAGGGGGAGCCTTCATCCTGCTAGCCGGGAGAAGCTTCAGCGGCTATCCCAGAAGCCAGAACACCTAGAGGCTATCCCAGAATCCAGATCCCTCTTGCTGTTCTGGCTTCTGAGATTCAGAATATTTTTTTTTCTTGGTTTCCTCCTCCAAAAACTATTGTCTGGTGCGTCTTATAGAGCGAAAAATACGGTAATTCTTAAGCATTTGGCTGCCATAGCTTAGGCTCAATGGGAGTCATGGAGAAGAGCTGTATGTAAATAATAAAAAAAAACCTAGAGACTGTAGACATTGCAAAACAGCATTGCCAGTGTCCTGTAAGATCAGTTGCCAGAGTGAGCCTGCTCACGCCATGTTTGAAATATGGATTGTGCAACTATTCCATGTAATTTTTGGCTGGATGATTCAGGCAAGGCCCACCACTTGACTGCAGAGAAGAGGCTGTGAACGTAATTGGCAACATTCGTTGGCAGTGTCTGAATCTGCTCAGAGATATTTTATTTTGGAAGGCCTTGCTAGTGCTGTCCTGAAAATTTCTACAGCTTAAAATAAAAAAACCCCAACAATTCTCCATCAATTAATAATAATAATAATAATAATAATAATAATAATAAATAATTGCATTTGAAAACTATCAAAGGCACTCTTTCATACTACAAATCTCCTTTTCTACTCTGCAGCCTTCTTGGGTGCCTGTGTTTCCTTAAATCACCCAAGACATTGTTGGTTGGGCTTTCTTGTAAGCACTGAAAGCTGAGGAAGCTGCCAAAATGTGCCGACAGCTGTTCGGCTTTTTAAAAATAATAATAATAATAATTTTAAAAAAAACTTTTAAAGAAATTAGCCTGGGTAGGGATTTTAAAAAGCTAACAGGAAAGATTTCCCTAAAAACCAAAAAAAATCGGCTAGTACACTGATCTCAGGTGTTCGGCAGCTAGCCTTCAAAATTTCCCATGTTTCAATTTAAGCTCAGGAGAAGGCATCATGCGGTCACTTCTATGTGGCTTTTCCAGATGAGAAAGCACAAGGCACCCCAGGAGGTTGCGGAGGGCTGGAGAAATGATCAATTGAAAGAAAAATGCCACCACCACCCACATCTCAGACAATGAGATAAGCTCAACCCCACACCCAGAAGAATTATAAAGAAATTCTAAAGCACCCTGAGAAAGAGGCAGCCTTCTTTTTCCACAGTAGAAGAAAAGTTGTGAGAAATTGGTTTCAGCACAACATTAGGCATCACCGTACTTTTTTTTAATGATTATCTGGATGTGGCGTGATTTGGAAGATGACTTTTAACTCTGCCATTTTATGTTAGGTGGTGGCTATTTTATTGCTTTTACAGATTGTGTATTTTTAATTGATTTTGAATTTTGTCAGCTGCTTTGAAAGGAGTTACCCAAGGTATGAACAGATGCATAAACAAACAGACAAATACGCCTAGCTCTGTAAGAATTTCATGCCACTCAAAAGTAGAAGACCATTAGTATTAAACTTCTTACAATGAGTTATGGCTGGGTTTTGGAGAGCATTTTTCATACATCCCCTCCACCCCCAGCTCCCCCTCAAAAGCCCAAGGTTATATGAAAGGCTGCAGAGTGGAGCTTTGAAGAAGCCTTCTCAATGTCCATATTGAGCTGAGAAGCTTGCATTCATAATCCTAGTTTGGCCAGAGCGACCCTGGCAAGGAGCAACTCGGGAATATGGGAAGAATCGGGCTGGTGGATAGAGCTGGTGGCAGAAATGGTGCCCACATCAACAAAGCGTTCTCAAAGCAGCTCCATGGCTTCACACCAGAGCCTTGAAACTGACATAAATTGGATGGCTTGCATGCTTCACTTTTTGTGGATCAATGAACTTATCTCTTACAAACAGAAAGCAAAAGATACACAGATGTGAAGAGAGGTATTTGAATTAGCTGTGGCTCCTGCCAAATCGATCTGGAGTACTTAATTAGGACCCAAACCTAGCTTTGGATGAGCTTCAAACCTCTCAGAACATGATGAAGCTACTCAAATGCAGCCTGTTTCAAGGTAATACCTTTTTGTGTTTCCTGCACCGTTATTCTGCTTTAAAAAATCAAGAGAAAATGAGTGAAATGAGCACTTAGCTAATATATAGTACCTTCTCTCTCCCCCCCTCCCCCAGATCAGTACTTCTTAATATAAATATAATTGTATCATCCTAGCATAGAATGATGCTCCGAAGTCTGAAATTCTTCTGAGTGGCTGTGAATAGCTATATGAACTGATGCAAGATTTTAATTCCTGATTTTTCTGTGGAAGATTAGACCTATCTTGGATTGGCCCAATGTGCATGGTAATCTGACCCTTTGAGAGGAAATGAATTCAAAGCATTAATATAGTTATTTTCATTTGTGTAAGTAAATAAAAAATTAGGCATCATGTACACTCACACATTGTGCTATTCGCAGTACATTGCTGAAAATTTATAAACTGCCTTAAAAGCAAGGATATTTATATTCTATATTTTAAAGGGGGGGGGGGGTTTGATTCCATGACATGTAAAGCAACTTATACACATATAAGCAAAATTAAGTATACAGTGGTACCTCGGGTTACAGGCGCTTCAGGTTACAGACTGCGCTAACCCAGAAATAGTACCTCGGGTTAAGAACTTTGCTTCAGGATGAGAACAGAAATCGTGCGCTGGCGGTGCAGCAGCAGTGGGAGGCCCCATTAGCTAAAGTGGTGCCTCAGGTTAAGAACAGTTTCAGGATAAGAATGGACCTCCAGAACGAATTAAGTTCGTAACCCGAGGTATCACTGTATCTGCCTACTACGCCTAAAGTTCTGTTTCTGCTTGTTATGGGAACGGGTTAGCAGAGCAACAGCAATTTCTACACTCCCCAGTTTATGTCTAATATTTCACCAAGCATGCTCATATACTTGCAAGCCTATCCCCACAGACGAAAAGCACAGAACATCCTGGTATAGGATGTTGAGTTCTGAAGCCAATGCAAATTATGCCCTCAACCCCCATTAAACATTATGGATTATATGCTGGATAAATAAGATGAATAACTGTGACACCACACAGCAACCGAATTCCTAGGCAGGTAAGTGAAGAAACTTGCTTTGCATTACTAAATGAGGAGCATGAGTCATAACTGCATTTATTAGGATGGATGAATTGAAAAACAACAGCAACACAAACACAAATATTATTTTGGTGTATAAGCAATTAGCAATTAGCAGTTTACTTTTCCTCAAGCTGTTAAATGCTGACACCATGCGAGTTGACAACTGCGTGAGGGTCCTAATGAACAAGAGAAAGCTGGAATATTTCCCTAGACAGGAAGCGCCTTGCATGAAGAAGCTGGAAACTAGGCTGCAGTCCAGGCAAGAGCTGGATTTACATTTCAGTGACTTGCACCGGTTTCTCGGTGCAGCAAGCATCTTGACACAAGACAGATTGCTGTTGTCAACTCTGGTAGCCAAGTCAGGAGAGATCTACACCCTGTGAGCTAGAAACTGACGTGCCCACCTCTGGCGCTGTACATATTTTATTTAAATTGCACCACCCCCTACTGATGTGGGAGACACATGTCTACATCCAAGGACAGGCCCAAGTCCCAATCGGGATGCTAATAAAGACGGGGAAACTTTTATAGTAAATGGAAGAAAACTTATTCTATTTTGAACATGTGGCAGAAGGAGGGAAATAGGGGAGGGCATGACCCCGATTCTGAACCACAGAAATATCTGGAGACTAGCACCAGCTGCCTATGCTCTGCGCATGCATGCCATGGTAAAGCTCATTCTTCCCAAGAATCAGAAATATTTGCTACCAACTAGCTATGTCAAGAATAACTGCTGTTTACCTATGGCTTGATGTACAAGAGCATCTATAATCCAAACAGGATTTCATTCAGCGATACAATGGAACCTTGGTTCTCAAACCCCTTGGTACGCAAACAACTTGGAAGCCAAATACTGCAAACTCAGAAGTGTTCCGGTTTGTGAACTTTTTTCGGAAGCCGAACGTGCTCCGTTTTGAGCGTTACACTTCCAATTTGAGTGCCACACTTCTGTTTTGAGTGTTATGCTGACGATTTGAGTAGAAGTAGAATGACAAAGCAAACATTCAGTTTGCATTTAAAGGGAAAACCACTTAACCCCCCCTACTTTCTGAAACAGCCATCCTTCAAAATTTCAACTTTTCTGAATTTTTCAACAGAGTAATATTCATGAAAATAACATAAAACATTGCATTTTTATACAAAAAAGTGCTTTGAAAAATGTGTATATTATACAAAATTGCATACAAACGTGCATGTTAGGAGATTTGACTAAAATCCTGAAGAATTTCCATTACTACTGAAATGGACAGATTCAACTACCACTATCTAATTTCTGTGTTTCGAAACTGAAAATGACAAGAGTTACAGCTGAATTGTCTGGAGTCCAAACCTCCTCGTTATTTTAGGCACTTCTGGGGCAGAAGCGAGAGCTTTCCCTTGAAAACAATAAAGACGATTGGACAGAATTTCAGCATAGACTTGACAGCGGCATGTCTGCCCAGAAACAAAAGGCAGCAATAGAATGGGCTCTCGTTTCAGATATGATTTCATGCAGAAAACATTTTTAAAGCTTCAAATATTGAAAAATGCTCTGCCAATGTTAATACAGCTCATTACTCCCACACTGTAGGTCTGGAGTGAATGGCTTCTAAAATGTAGCAGACTGTTAATATTGCAAGTTAGAAGTGGGTCTGAGGCTGATTCGGATTCCCAGCCAAACGTCCCTCATTCAAGACACCCCTCATGTTGCAGCAGCCAAGGTCAGTCAGATGCAGCCAAAGTCAATCTATTTAAAATTCCCCCCTCTGGCTCCCAGGGCGCTCAATTCCAGGATTCAGTTGCATGGAGGAAGACTTGCAGTCCACTAACTTCCACAAAGGCACGTTGTACTTCTAAACAGTCTGAAGACTCCCAAGGAAATATCACATTTTCACATGAAATGAAGCTTTACTTAGAAGGATCTTGAACTCCTCTCCCAAGTATATGTGTGTTGTTCCTAGTTTTTTAAGGATCGGGGTGTTTTTGTAAGTCTTATATTGAATTTTGGCACTGTTTCTTGGTTGCTGCTAGGTTGTAGCATGCTGATTTGAAAAGCAGGATGCAGAGTTAATAAATAAATATAAAACGGTAAAACGCAGGATTTCTCAACTGCTTTCTATGGACAGCCGTCACTTCTGCCCTGGGGCTGGGATCAGAAAAGGGTGCCCAAAGTGAACCTGGAAGATCAGACTCCTTGTGATAGTGTTACTTTTTAAAGCTGAGGGAGACATGTGCCATTGGTGCAATAAGGCTGCATTCAGGCATGCCGATTATTTTGTTAGTTTTCCTGGTTATAATTCTAGCACTTCTGTCCCAGTTTCTAACAACTCTTTTACACTGCGTTACCTGGTGTTTTTGGACTGTGGCTTCTTGGTCAATATACTGCCATGTTGTCCTGAACTTCGTTCACACCAGTGGGCATGCTGTGAAAACAACAGCAGATGCCATTGGACACTTTGCTACCCTAAATGCACACCTGCAATTCTGTCTCCACATGATTCACCCCTTAAAACAGCAGGAAAGAACCATACGCCAAAATACCACCCTAAATTTCGTCACATGAAAATTATAATAAACTTGCAGTGCAAAACTCCCATGATTTCCCGAGTTAAAAGGGCCACAAACAGATATATATTTCCCCCCCCTGCCCTGGAAGTAATTAACATGGAAATTGAATGCTAAATTTCCACTAGACTTCCAGAAGTGGATTTTAGGTCATGTGAAAAATCACATAAAACGCAGAACTCATCAGGTAAGGAATCAAGTGCTGTCTGAATGCAGCCCTGGTGTCTCTCTCCAGAGGATGAGAGGAGAGTTGGGGCTTGTTATGGTGCTGGTCTGGTGACATGTTAAACTCTCTGGGAAACCAGCACAACTCAGGAAGCCTCAGTCCCTACTAGCTAGGGATGATGGGAGTTGTAGTTCAATAATAGCTGGGGACCCAAGTTTTGAGAAACACTGCTGTAGCACCATAGATGCTCTTCCAGCCTGTGGTCCTTTGCGTCTTGATACCACTCTCTGCTTTTCTCCCTCTGCTATTCCTAGCTGCTACCACTATTATAGCACAGTAACTTTGCTGAGATACGCCTGAAAATATTTCCCATGCTTTCTTCCTGTATATTTGAAGGGAAGGCTTGCAACCCAACCGGAAACAGCTAACTGTGTGGATAGGGCAACAATGTACTTTTCCCTATGTACTAATAGCTTGACTGAATAAGCTATACAGTGGTACCTCAGGTTACAGATGCTTCAGGTTACAGACACTTCAGGTTACAAACTCTGCTAATCCAGAAATACTACCTCGGGTTAAGAACTTTGCTTCAGGATGAGAACAGAAATCGCGCGGCGGCAGCGCGAGGCCCCATTAGCTAAAGTGGTACCTCAGGTTAAGAACAGTTTCACGTTAAGAATGGACCTCCAGAACGAATTAAGTTCATAACCAGAGGTACCACTGTATTACTCTTCACAGCATGGCCCTATCCTACCTGTAAGCTGTTACTCAAGACTGGATAACACAGAACAAAGAAAGGTGTATCACCAGTTCACAGAGCTTGGTGTAGTAAGAAAAACATAATTAACACTCAGTTGGCTTTCAAGTGTTTCTAGTCTGAGAGATAAAAGACAAGGAAATTATGTCTAACCAGGAACAGCCTGTCAGACAGAAGAAGCATGGGGAACTGTCTGCATGTTGCTCTTATGGCTTTTTGAAACCTTGCAATAATTAGATCCCGATAAACACAGCAACACTAATAATGAGGACTGCAGTGAGCCTAGGCTGTAATCAAGTGTGTTTTTGAGAAGGGATTTCAAAACTGCCTTTCTATTCCACAATGCACTGGGTTAAACAGTGTATGGTGTGTAGTTTAATATTAAACACTGTTCGCCTTGTGATTAAACGTGTTATCACACAAGCCAAAACAAGGTCACCTTGCTCAATCTTCTCAATTTGTAAAGCGGAGTTGCTTGACAGCAGAGAAGCCAGCAGAAGAAAAAGGTTTGATTTGTTTGTCCACTTAGAAACAAGAGAAAAGGAAATCTAGAGATATTAAGCTGAGAAGGCAGCGTTTTCACCACATGCCATTATTAGATATGAACACAGTCGGGGGCAGCGGGAATGTAAGTGAACAGCTAAGTAATTAAACAAACGTTTTATCCAGATTAAAAATAGCTCTGATTAGCCGGAATGCTGCTGCTCTCAAATTGTTCCTTGGCCAGAAAGCCCGAATGTTGCCTTACCAAGCCAAGTGACAGCTATGCAAGTTCTGTAGCTTCCAAACAACCAGGCAGGCTTTCCCCCGTCCTCTAAAAGTAATTGGGTTGGAGTGCATATTTATAATACATGATAGTTCAGTATATACTATAAGGTCTTCCATCTGCAACGTGTTCAACCACTAAACCAAGCATAAGAATAGAGACTGTCAAAGAATGCATTAGAACCCGGTGCTGAAAAGCCATGATTTATTTTTGAATCTCTCCCTCTCCACCACCCCATTAAATCATATTTGCCTCAGTTCTGCTCTCACCTTTCAGTCCTACCAGTAAACTGAAAGTCATCCATCAGTTAGACCAATATGCCAAAGGCAGGTAGCCTTGTGCTATGCCCATGAAACTGCTGTGGCGAGACTGGTTAGTTTCCATCACTGGCTAATCCTGCTTACCATCAAAGGGAAAGGGCAACACTTTACAGGAAGCCACTGTTTTCCCCAACCTTTTAAATATATATATTTCCATCCCACCTTGACCAAGGTGAGATTTTCTATCTAAGGCTGAACCTTAGTCTTGCATATCATCTTTTGGTCAAACATGTTTAGGGAAGTTTTTAATGTTTGAAGAGTTTGGATTTGATATCCCGCTTTATCACTACCCGAAGCAGTCTCAAAGCGGCTAACATTCTCCTTTCCCTTCCTCCCCCACAACAAACACTCTGTGAGGTGAGTGGGGCTGAGAGACTTCAGAGGAGCGTGACTGGCCCAAGGTCACCCAGCAGCTGCATGTGGAGGAGCGGAGATGCGAACCCGGTTCACCAGATTACGAGACTACCACTCTTAACCACTACACCACACTGGTTTGAAGTTTCATTCTGTTTTTAATGTTCTGCTGAAAGCCGCCCAGAGTGGGTGGGGTATAAACAGTAATAATAATAATAATAATAATAATAATAATAATAATATCAAACACTTGTTTTCATTGACTGCTTCTTAAGGATTTGGGACAGATGATCACAGAATTGTAGATCATCATCATTTCTCACCCTGCACCAACAGGTCCCAGGGCAGTTTACAACAATTGAAAACTCAGAAATAGAAAGAGATTGATGTCATAGGGTAGGTCCTGGAAACACACATCTCAGGTGTCAAAGGCTAGGGGCACAGAGGTGCTTATGCTGGAAGCTGTACTGTGGAAAACCCAGATGATCCCAAATTACACAATTTAGGGGCTACCAGAAAATGCCCTCTCTTGCCCTTCTCCCCAAACCACTGAGGGAGGTAGAACTACCAAGGAGGCCCTCTCTGCAGACCTTAACACTCGGGAGGGTCTGTAGAAGAAATTGGATTTGGATTTGATATCCCACTTTATCACTACTCTAAGGAGTTTCAAAGCAGCTAACATTCTCCTTTCCCTTCCTCCCCCACAACAAACACTCTGTGAGGTGAGTGAGGCTGAGAGACTTCAGAGAAGTGTGACTAGCCCAAGGTCACCCAGCAGCTGCATGTGGAGGAGCGGAGACGCGAACCCAGTTCCCCAGATTACGAGACTACCGCTCTTAACCACTACACCACACTGGCTCTCTGTAAGGAAGGAGGTGGTCTTTCAGATATTTTGGGCCTACTTCATTTAGGGCTTTAAACACCTGTGCCTCCAGTGACCATGTTGGATCCAGAAGTAGCCCCAGGCTACGAATCTCTTCCTTCCAAGGGAATGCAATCCTGTCCTCAACATGCTGTCTTCCTATCTCCTGAACAAGGAACTTGGAACACGTGGCATGCTCATCTCCTTGCCTGCATAACAGGAGGGCCTTCCACAGTGGCCTTTGTTAGTTTGCTAAATATCTGTGCTTTATTAGTCAACTTTTGTTTAAGGGCACTGTTTCCCCAGTGCAACTGGTGTGTTTTGATGCCAGAGTTGTAAACTGTGATGCACTATATACAGAAATGATTTCGCTTTACTCAGAGAATGCATGGTGGAAAACAGCAGTCTTCCTGCCCCTCCCACATGCTAGTTGCTCCAGACAACACTTTTGGGACACAGCCTTATCCAATTAAGTAAAAGGAAAGTTTTTGATAGGCAGCAGTAATTACTGCAGCTGGCAGCTGGCCCAGTCATTGAAGTACACAAACACAGACATTTTCAGGAAGTTAAATGGGGTCTTTGCTTTGTTGTTGTTGTTTTTTTTGGGGTGGGGGGGGGAGACAAGAGTATAATTTTAGCTTTAGGTCTCCTTGAATACATGAATAATTAGTTTGCATGTTAAATTAAAATGCTTTGGTGTATATGTGTGGGTGTATTATGCCAGCCATGACATCACCTTTGTACCACTTAGCAGTCTGTAAAATTGGAACGGTGCATACTATTAATGTGCTCATCAGAAACTGAATCGTACAGGTACATCACCTAGAAATGGGATGGCCAGAGCAATGTTATCATCGCTCTTGTGGCTGGCCCTAACGTCTTTTTAAAAATAAAAATATGCTAAAAAGTTGCATTACAAAAGTCTTTTTCCTTTTGTATTGCATCTACTAAACCGTAAGCCATTATTTTAAATAGTAAAGTGACTTGATTGCATTGGCAAAACGGTGGTACACGAGATAAATAAATTATAAAGGGGGGGGAGGAACCTTTCCATTTTCAAGACGACCCTAAAAATGCTTTTGGTTCTTCTCAGAGCAATGATTCAGGGATGACAGCCAGATTTTGCTGAGATATAATGTC